TATTTCCCCGATTTAAATTGCCCTGGCAAAGCACGAATATGATTAAGCCGATGTAGATCATTCTAATGAGCGCTGTATTTGAGAGGGATGAGCTGGGTGGGCCAGCGAGCATCATTGCTTTAAAATTCAGCGCAGGAATAAAGAAAAGAGGTATTTGAGGGGCATGCACACGAGAAAAGAAGCAAGAAAGAAGTAAGACATCACGTTTCATCAATGCAGATGAATTCATCAAGTAGATTTTTTACGATGCAATAAAATGTTCCTCAGGTTATTGAATTTTCGCAATTTGTGGTCCATTTAAATTTTGCATATGTCATAAAACCGATGATCAATGTAAATTGAGTTGACCACTGAGACTGAATTTTTACGCATGAATGTATTCTTTACTTCCTTTCAGAGCAAAATAGCTTTTTTATTATTTGTTCTACGCGCATCTTCCTTTCCTTCACTGTGTGCCATCGCACTATAAAGCTAAAGTCAAGAGCTTATCATGTCCTGTTTTACAAATCCTCATACTTCCGCGTGCTCACTCGGGATGTCTATTGTTATAAGTACGATAGCTGTACGAAAAACAATGTAGCAACAACAAGGGGGTGGCCATATGGGCCGCGGCCCATGGCGGCAAATCTAAGGGGCGGCAAAAATTTGCATTTTTTTTAAGTGTAGGTATAAAAAAAAATCGGATTTAGACAACAAAAATTACAAACGGGAAAGGCGACAAATCTCTCATTTACTGAAAGTATAGTAATTTCTAATTTTGTCGTCCCTTAGTGATACAAGAGACAGTACCTTCAATTAGTCGAGTTAAGAGAGAAACTTAACACGCAATTTGGCCTGCTGGAACTGCGACTGCGACTTATAGAGAAATAATAGCGGGGACTTGAGATGAAAAGGAGAAGCCCTCGGCGCGGCGATCGGTATGTAACACATAACGCCTACAAGACTGCACGAATACTTCTCGTATTGCATCAAACACAGTGCGGTCATTGATGTCAGCGTGAAACGGATAGCGCCTACAAGAATGCATGAATGCCTCACGCATTGCGCCAAACACAGTGCGGTCAGCGTGAAAGGCAGGAGTTTGAGCTTCTTGATTTCAACATGCGCCATAATTTATTTACTTTGTGGCAGATGCTTGCAGATGATTGAGGAGGAATTACCCATCTGTTGATGTTGAAACAAGCTACAATTTATTGAACTACACACGCTCAGATGCTGACACCTCGGCTTGTTGATTTCATTTTTGATGAAAAACAGCAGATTTGTATGAAGACGGAAGTAGTGGCCTTAGCAAAAGAGCTACTTTTTTGCGATTGATAGTCATTTAAATCTTCCATGAATATAAATTTTAATGCCTTACCTTCGGTTGCAGAAACTAGCGTCTAGTGATTCAGCAGTATACCGAAGGGCAGTTTCCAATGCCGTGGTCACCATCAAATTACATTACATACATTTTTTAGCAGATCAGTTGCGCTGGATCGTGTTTAGATGCGTTTGTATATCAGATGTAAAGAATAAGATCTCTCAAACAGCAACTTTCTACGCTTAAAATTAATCAAGATATCGCGCTTTGAAAAATTTGGTTTACGACAATATCCACCGCTGTAGTGACACCCTTGGTTTCTTCCACCTTCCTTTCATCCAAGTTTCACGTTGAGTATAACCAGGGAAAATGTGTGTCTCCCTGACAAATGATAGCAAGGTGGCAAAAATCCAATGGTGTCACTGCCGCGGTAGATGACGCCATTGAACGAATTTTTCAAAGCGCGATATCTCGGTTAATATGAAACGTAGGGAGTTGCTTCGGACAGATCTTTTTACTCTTAGCTAATCCACAAAAATTCAGCATCAAATGGACTACATTTTGCAATTTGGATCTTCGAATTCTTGCCCTTTTTAAACACAACGTATGTGCCATTAGTTTCCCTATGCACATAAGTGTTTTTCCAGAAGAGTGAAAATTTATAGTTTCAAACTGCAAAATGCAGTCCAAATAACGATTCCATGACTTGCGCGACCGACCCATTCTTTATTTCATAACTCTAATACCAAGAGGGGTTATCCAACAGTTTTGCTTACTTAGTACACAACTATCAAGTATAATTACAAGTTCAATGCACAGCACTCAGTGACAGTAGATGGACTTTCTTTCGCGAGCACATTTCAGCAAAAGTCCATGAGCACCCCCGGAGCGAGCCGTTTACACGCGTGCAATCGACTTACACTGCTGTGCTGAGGAAGAATGCCGTATGAGCATTTAAGAGTTGCCAAATTTCCTTCGATGAGATGTTCATTTTGCAGGAAAGTCATAAAAATTTTGCTTCGAAACCTCCCGGTGCTTTAGGTGACATTGCGAACGAAATGATCAGAGTGGTTGGAGGAAAAGTATTCATCCGTTTTCCAGGAAATTCGTATTTTGAGAAAGGAAATTCGTCAACGCCTGAAGGTTTATACGGCGTTTTTTCCTTAGCACGGCAGTACACCTGGGAGCTCACTTAACGCGACTGTTTAATTTGCCGCTCGGGGTTGGGNGGGGGGGGGGGGCTCCACAAGAAGGCAGGTGTGCGTTAAAGCGTCTCGCGCGGGGCGGGAACAGCCGGTGGGCAAGGCGCGGCGCGGCGCGGCGGAGGCCCCGCTGAATTACGGCTAATAATTGCCAAACAGTCGAGATGCTGCAAATTATAAGAACAAAGCTCTTCCGGGAACAGGTAGTTACGGGCACAAGTGCATTTAGCACCTCTGCGACCCGAGATGAATGGCGCTTGCCGCGCGCGGCCCGTAGCTCGCGGCGGGGAGTCACGCGGCGCCGTATAATATGGGCGAGCCGCTCGGAAACTGATCCTCCTGCGTCAAGAATCTCCCTTATTTAGGCACGCTTCCATAGTAAGTAATGTAGAGATATTCCTCAAGGTGTACCTAGAGTATACCTTTGCTTGAAGATTATTACTCTTCATACTTCATAATGCCAACTTTGATGGACTCCCGGGTAGGGAACAAAAAGCGCCTACAATCAGGATCGAGGCAACCCGCATGTCCGCAGAGTTAAAATAGTTGCATGCAGAATCGTGGCGTGTTCACAGTAGCTCATTGAACGGAGCCTTTCCTTGGCAGAGGTGGATCCAGCAATTTGGCAACGCCAGATTCCCTCCGTTTAAATCTATGTTAAGTAATCGATTCTTGTGAAAGCACACCTGGACCTGGCCCCTTTAAGAATCGATACATTTACACAGGTTCAAATGGAGAAAAACAATGTTGCCAATTTGCTGGATCCGCCAATGTTCCTTGGAGAAGAAACTTGTTCCGAGAGGAAACTTTTCTGACTCCGTTATGCAGGTATTCTTCCATGGTGAGTGATGTAGGCATATTCTTCCAGGTGTGCCAAAGAGTATACTTTTGCATGAAGGGTATTACCGTTCTTAGCTTATAGTGTCATATGTAATGGAGTTAGGTTGGTGTACTCTCGGGAAGGGAACAAAATAAAAACGCCTGCAATCAGGATCGAGGCAACCCGCATGTCCGCAGAGTTAAAATAGTTGCATGCAGAATCGGAGGCGTGTTCATTGTCGCTCCTCGAATAGAACCTTTCTTTGACAAAATAATTTTTACCAAAGGCAACTATTCTCACTGTCAGACTTAAGGAAGGTTCAAGAAGGCCCTTAATAAAACATCATAAAAGGGATAATTTTAACTAGCCCCGAGTAAGATTCAATGGTATAACTTTGATAATTGAAACTTGCAAGGGATTAAAATGATTAGTGGCTGTAAAAACACACACACAAGTATTGAATATTGTGACTTCAGATCTTGTTAATTTCAGGGTGTTCGTCGTTTGTATCTTAATTTTTTACGGTTAAAAATCATTTCAATCTCTTGCAGGAATCTAATTTAAGGATTCTCATTTAATCAAAGATACACTAGTGTACTTGATGCTAGTAGTAGTTGTCCTCTATATCATGTCGAAGAACTTTTTGAATCATATTTGGACAAAGCAGTCAACTAAGGAACGATATCAACACCTGTAACATACAAAATTTCAACTGGCCTCGAAAGATAAAAATAAAACATGGCATCTCAGCCGGGTCCTCGTTGCGATCGTTTTAGAATATTCAGGGTTGCTACAGAATTTAGAAAATGAAATTCCCTGACATTTCCCTGATTTCCCTGACACATTTTGGTGAAATTCCTTGACAGTTGAAGATGTGACAGACGATTTAGAAGGCATAATTAAAATAGTTATCAGGCAAAAGTTGTTGTTCGAAACCTCAAACCCATTCTAGAAAGCAAATGAACGCGATTTAACCCATTTTCCCTAACATTGCCCGGTTTTCCCTGATATTTCCTGGGTTTTCCTGACTGTGGCAACCCTGAATATTGAGTTTGGCTTCAATTCAAAATTTCAACGCTGCATTTTCATATTCTTAGTACTTATATTAAACTAATATCTCCAACAACTTGTCCCTCAAGGTCTAACTCATACTACAATGCTCGCTTGCTCTTCAAATAAAGGCAAATCACAAATCGAACTTCGAATACTGCTCCAGCAGGGCGTCGATCATTTCCGCGAGGAACTGAAAAAGGGGCTGGAAATCGGCGATCATTTCCGCTAGGAAATCATCGATCGTTTCCGCAAGTGCAAAAAATGAATATGCACAACGTGGCAACTCTAAGTTGTTGGAATGATCTAGAAGGAGGTTTGCCGCATCACATGTCGCATCGCGCTGCACTGATAAGAAATGAATGAAAGGTGCGACACCGCTGACCGCTCTCTCGGAACTGAAACTGATCAGTTGGTATCAAGTCAGTGCGTGACTGCGTGTGCGGGATGGATGTTCAAATTTCGGAAAAGTACGTTAGTACGCGAGGCGGAAATTGCATAGTAATTGAAAATTACAAATTGTGTCAAGCAAATGTACTTAAGAACGGAAATGTGCGGTATCGGTGTACGATGAAAAGTTGTAGGTACAGTGTTTTAGTTGATAAATCCCGGCGATATGGCGACGGTTGTTGGCCATATGCGAACAATTAACAGGTAAAACTTTCTGCTTTTCACACTTTTACGCTGACTTTGAGAAAGCTGCTCATAATGCCGTACTAGCAATGTTTCCGGAATGCCTTATATTGTGCTGCACCTTTCATTTAGCTCAGAATTGGTTTAAACATATTCAGCAAAACAAGTTCCTTCTTAGAGAATATAATACGCCAGATTCTGAAGTGGGCAAATATTTGAAATATTTTTTTGGCCTGCCATATTTACCGCCTACTGAAATAGAAGCAGGTTTCGTTGATTTACTATCGATTGCACCCCCCCAAGTGCCATCTGATTTTTCCGATTATGTCTTAGAAACGTACATAGACGAGGCGGCACTGTTTCCTCCTAGCATGTGGGCAGGCCCCCCCTCTGATGGGCCAAGAACGACCAATGGACCTGAATCCTTCCACAGCAATTACAATAAAAATTTTTACCATCGGCCTTCAATTCATAGTGTCACGCAAGTTTTACTAGAAACGCAAGCTCTCACAATGACAAAAATTAACTCAATCAAGAAGCAATCTACAAATGTTATCCGGAAAGAAACCGCCGATCGACTTGCAACATCCATCCAGGCATGGAATACATGCAAAGAAGCATTAGAAGGAGGCTCTGAAACGGCTCGCTTGAGGTACCTGAAGTTTATGGGATACCGATTTCACGGGAAGAAAGTTTAAAGTTTTCGACTTAAAATGTGACGTGATAATTATTTTATCTTAAAAAAAAACTGTGCGCACAGTTTCTTTGTTGTTTTTTTTTAAAGTGGATTTTGAAATGTTGAGATGTGCAAAAATCCTTACCGTGCGGACAGTTTCTTTATTTTTTTTTAAAAAGAAAGAGGTTTTTTGAAATTTTGCGATTTGCATATACGTGATTTAAGGGAGGGGGGGAAAAAGTTCCGAACTTTTACTTTTTACAAAATGAAGTGGAGTTTTGGAACTTTTTGTCAACCGACCTCTTGTATCTTCTTTTGCTACTTCAAATCACAGTCTTCTTCTTGAATCTTCTTGAATCAATGGGTGAGTACATTAATGTTTATTTAGGGGATAGTTTCAGGTTTGCCGACGTTGCCAACTCCTCCAAATGGTAACAAAAATTGTCATGAAATAATTTGCGGAAATGATCCCCGATTTCCAGCCCCTTTTTCAGTTCCTCGCGGAAATGACCGCCGCCCCTCCAGCAACCCCTTCACATATGCATATCATATTCCGCGACTTACAGGTTTTCTTAACCGCGGGGGCACTTACACCCCTAAGGATCCGAGACACGCGCGATAACGAAATTAATTCACCCCCCGAACGCGCTCCGGAGCCAATCAAGGATTCGATAAAGTGATTTACGCATATCAGATAAGCTCCAACGAAATTATTTTATTACCCGCTGAAATTTGGACCTCCGGGGCGCGAACTGTCAAACTTCCGACGACTCGGATTCGATCCGAATTAACGAAGTATTAACGCTCCTCATCGCGCTAATGCGTCTCATTCGAGTCGGCGCCATTAAAAGTTTTTAATCAACCGGGGTGTGTAGGCGATCGTGATTAAAAGTTCCGGTAAATTTATTAAAGCACCGCGCCAACTCGGCGGTGTACTTAATGTGCCATTGTGAGAGGAACCTCAAATCCCATGATTCCAAATCGGTAATGACTTAAAGGGATCTTGCGTGGAGTGAGAAGTTGCGCCTCTCATTGGTGCGCGGGTAGGGGCGGTGCTTCGGGAGGGTTCGCGACCTGGGTATGGATTTCATGTGCTACAGGTAGCAGCGATAAGATAGGGGGAATGGCTGTCCTTTTGTCATTTATGAGGGTGCGAAAGTGTTGAGAGTGATAGGATCTCTAGTGTTATTGGGTGGTTGCGAACAATTTTTGACGCTGGTTTAATTGAACAGAACTCAGTGGTATAGAGCGGCTTGAAAGGTTTCATTTCAGGAGAAGGTCAATGGCAGAGTAACTCGGAGATGATTACGCAACAGTGGTTATTTTGGACGGTATTTAAATTTGAAGGGGTTTTTCCTTATAGTGGAGTTTATGCTGTATTGAACTTTAGCTGATTCGGGGACTGTACTGCACCGCTTCACTGGAAAAAAACACATTGGATCTAGAGTCCAGACTCTTGAAAACATTGACAAGAAAAAATACTTTTGATTCAATCAGATTTTTGCTTAAATCAAAAGGAAATCCGCTCAAATTAAGAGGCTTGGTTCTTGATTTAAGCAAAAATCCGATTGAATCAAGAGTATTTTTTCTTGTCGAGATTTAAGAGTCTGGACTCTAGATCCAATGTGTTTTTTTCCAGTGTTTGATGGCAAGGAAACATTGATAACTTCATGTAACTTATGCGGGAAATATTTATTGCGGAAACGTCGATCACGATCGTTGTGTGGATATGTCAAAGTCCCAGATTTTGTGCGGAAAATGCATACTTCCATTGAAAGAAATGCAAAACCTCATAACTTAGACCCTTCAAAGTTATAAACGAATTACTGACGATCCTGTCCCCTTTCTCCGGATCTCGTCGCAAGGTGTGATCCGGGCGCTGAGCGGAGCTTACACGGTCGTATCCACGGGAGCCCGGCTCGGTAAATTAAAACCACATTAACATAGATTAGCAACCCTGGGCCCGGGGTGGGGGAGGGGGCGGAACGTGCCGCGGCGTGGGAGCACGCAGATGTCAATATTAAACGCTAAGTATCACCTATAAACCGGCCGTGTTTGCACGGACGCGACCCCGGAGTGGACCCCGCCTCGAGCGGGGGGCTTTTATCTCCCGCTTTTCGGGATTATTTTTCGCTTTTTTACGACGTCCGTCTTGCGGCAACCACGGGGTCGTTATTGTTTTATAACCGGACGGGTGGCCTTGTTCTGCCGTCCGAAGGAAGAACGCCGTATGAGCCTTTAGACGTTGCCAAGTTTCTTCCGCACTGGAAGAAAAACACATACTGGATCTAGAGTCCAGACCCTTGAAAACATTGACGAGAAAATGGACTCTTGATTCAATCAGATTTCTGCTTAAATCAAAAGGAAATCTGCTCAAATTAAGAGGCTTGGTTTTGCCACAGATTTATGGCCTATTTTATTACACTGGAAAAAAAACACATTGGATCGAGAGTCTAGACTCTTGAAAACATTGACAAGAAAAAATACTCTTGATTCCATCAGATTTAAGCTTAAATCAAAAGGAAATCCGCTCAAATTAAGAGGCTTGGTTCTTGATTTAAGTAAAAATCCGATTGAATCAAGAGTAGTTTTTCTTGTCGAAGAGTCTGGACTCTAGATCCAATGTGTTTTTTTTCCCGTTCGATAAAAACCAAAGTTACTGGGATAATTGTGAATAATATTTTCTCAAATTTTCTGACAATTTTGCACGCAATTTAATCTAAAATATCCGAAATCTAATATATCAAGGAAATGCATCCATGGATGTTGTCAAAAATACATGTTTTATTAAGGGCTATTTGGCAACTCTCGAATGTGCATACTGCGTTCTTCCTCAGCGCGGCAGTGTTGGTCGCACGCGGCTCGACGGCAGTTTTGGTCGCGGATTTCGTCGTCCTTCTGACGTAAGGGCGTATCTCATATTCCGCATGAGCCTCGGGAAGCATGGAATTAAATAGGGAACAGAGCTCACGTGAAAATTTATAAACGCCCCTCCGTGAGATGGACGACGATTTGAGATCGTTTTCTTGGGATTACTGCACTGTCGTGCTCAGAAAAAACGCCGTATGAACCTTCGCCACTAGCCAAATTCCTTTTGATCGAATGCGAATTTATACGAGAACTCGTTAATATTTTCCGTTCAAGTTCCAGAGAATTTTCTTCGATATTAGATCTGAATTATCCGAAATTTTCAAGCAAAAATATTCATAACTGTCCTAAAAAATAAGCATTCTGTCAAAGGAAATTTGGCAACTCTCGGATGTTCTTACGGCGTTTATCTATAGCACGGAGGGGCAGTGCTTATCCTTATGTTCTGATGACCATTGGACAGGTGCTTTGAATGAACGGACTCTTTTTTTTAAGGGGCGCCCTCCCCCCCCCACTAAATTTCAAGGTTCTAAAACGGAAAAGAGCTGACTCCGCGAGTTCAAATATTAAACCCTAACGGCGTGCTGCCAGCGCAAAACGCACACTGGCGCCTACAAACCTAAAGGGATACTTCACGCATTGCGCAATGTTGGAAGTATCCTGTTAGGTTTGTAGGCGCCAACGCACTGGCCGGCCGGCCGCCGCGCCGCAGCGTGCCCTCAAAAGGGAAACGAAGCAGCATTGCATAATGGCTTAGAATTTTCGCAGAATGACCGTGGAAGAGTAAAAAAATCAGAGAAAATTATACAACCGATATAAGATAGAATACAACCCGAAAATAATTACCTGTACATTATGGCCTCTTTGCCAGGGTGTTTACTAAAACAGGCTAACCAAAAATCAATACTTTTACAGTCCTTTTTTAGCACATTCCCAAAAAATTCAGTACCTCCTCAATACAAAAATTCAGTACTTTTTCAGTACCTCCATTCGACGAAATTCGAAAAACTTCAAAAATTTGAATTTCTCGCTCAAATTGAGACCAAAATGACCAAGAAATGGAAAAAATTCCAGACCTTTTGCGGAATTTCCGCACTTTTTCAGTGCTTCCGGACCCCCCTTAAAAAGTCGGTACTATTTCCGGACTTTCCGAAAATTCCGGACTTGTGGACACCCTGGAACAACCTGTTAGTAGCTCATATCGAAGAAAAAGTATCGATGGTTGCAGACTGAAAGGAAAAACTGATTCCGAGGACTGTGGCATTTACAGCATAAAAGAAGATGGCGTAAAAGTATAGATTTCACGTCCCACTTTTTGATTCCAATCATCGTCGACTCCTCAATTACTGTCCACCAAGCTCGAGTTGGCCGTCGACTCGACGAGCGGTGGAGTGCGGAGTCACCGCGGTGGAAACCAATACTAATTGCTGGCAAAGTGCTCGAGCTGGAATTTTAAAGAGCGCCCCACGGATGACTGATGACGGAGAGGAGAGCGCCGGGAAATTAGGCCACGAGAGCTACGCGCGTACCATCTTCACAACCAACCGTGTTTGGGAAGAAAGACGTTTGAGCGTTCGAGTCTTGCCAAATTTTTCCTACAAAAACATTTTCCAGTAAAAGGATGTGTCCCATTAAGGAGGGTATTTTGGCCCTAACGTTGGTCGAAAATTGAAACAGCTTAGAATAATGTCATGTATGGTCAAATCGACTCTTAATCGACCTTAAAGGTACTCTAGAATAATTATGTTTGATCGAAGAAATTTGGCTATCTGCGGATGCGCATAGGGCGTTTTTCCTGAGGATGAGAGACCGGCTCCGGATGCAAAACAGTTGTGACGTGGAGTGGTTAAAAATGATGGCGCCTTTTCTTCGGGTTCGGGATGCGCCCGTCTTGACGAGCCTGCGACTGCGGGTGACAAGCGAGAAAAATCATCCTCGTTTTCGTCAAGTGTGCAGTTCGCGGCGTCACCGAATCGCTCCGAGAAATCGGGCGGACCCGTTAAAGTGGGAATCGGTCGTTTTAAAACCGAACCTTTCCGTCACTCGATGAGCCTCGGGATATCAGCATTCATTTGAACGACAGGTTTCATGAGAAAATGGACTTGTTACGCAGCAACATCTAGCCAATCATATAAGTGACTGACCAGCGGGCTGATTGATGGAATGGAGATGTTGCATGTGTGAAGAATTTGCGATTTGACTGTTGATTCTCATATAAAAGTTCGCGAGAAACACGATGGTGCCACTGGTTTTCTCTGAAATCAACTCCCAAGCTCAAAAAAGCTCTCAAGTTGAGGCCAAAATGGAGGGGATATCCCACCCTACCCTTAGAGTCCACGTCTACATCAAGACAAACTCTCCATGCAAAGATAGGGAGCAAATACATTAGCAGTGATGCCGTGTTTTACAGTTTTGGAGTCCCCAAATAAAGTGGCAGCCCTGTCAATGTATTTGCTCCCTATCTTTGCATGGAGAATTTGTCTTGATGTAGAAGTAGACTCTCAGGATAGCGTGGGATATCCCCTCCATTTTGGCCTCAACTTAAGAGCTTTTTTTGAGCTTGGGAGTTGATTTGGGAGAAAACCAGTGGCATCATCGTGTTTCTCGCGAACTTTTACTTAAGAATCAACAGTCAAATCGCAAA